TCAGTGAGAACCTGTCTCTAAATAAGATATGGCTGGGTTGTGGATCAGTGGTTGAGTTCTATCTCTGGTTACCCACCCCCCCCCAAAAAAAAGAGTGCCAGAAGAAATAAGAATAAATAAATCATGATTTTCCACAGCAGTACTCCAGGAATCTGTTGGCAGGAGCTCTAGATCTCCAATGTTTTTTATGTGTGTTTATATATAATAAAAATGCATATATGTGTATACATATATATAATATATATCTTGCATAATATTTATGTGTTGTATATTTAATGTATATATATAATTTAATAAATGCATATATGATTACATAATATGTACTATATATATATAATTCTCTGAGAACTCAATTTTTGGTGAATTCATAATAGAGTTCTCCATGCTTTCCAGTATTAAGTAAATGAAAATGAGCCATGATGTTGTTGCAGAGATAAACTTGAGAAAAAAAAATACCTGAGCGCAAAGACATTTGTGATTAATGTATATATTTTGTTTTCTATAGTCAATGGCATGAGATTGAGTATCATTTGGGTTTTTTTGATAAAGTGAGACAAATTACTTAATTTTATTCAGGCTTGCATATTGCTGCCCTATCTCTTCTAAGATGTGTTGTCAACAGATGTAAATCTTTTCAAAGGGAAAAACAAGCTTTGGTTACAGGTTATTCAGCATTTTATATGACAGAGTCCATGGCGAGAGGGATGGAGGTTATTAAGAAACTTGCTTCTKAAATTAAACATTATTTTATCAAACTAAATGAATGTTTCTCCTGAATTCTAGTTTTCTTTTGTTTTTATTTGGTGTTGGGAATTGAACCCAGGATTCTGAGCATGCTAAGCAAGTGTTCCACCGCTAAGCTATACCCCCAGCTCCTGTTGAATTCTTACTGTAATATTACTTGCATTAGTCAAAATAAGCTAAGTTATGCTACAGTAACAAATTATCTCTAAAAATCCAGTGATTTAATGTGAGGTTCTTGTTAGTGAAAAATTGACACAGGCAATACCATTTTGAAACCTGTCCTCCGTCTAAGAACAAGTCACCCCACAATAACTCTGACTCAGCCTGACCTAAACCACAGACAATACTCCATCATTTCACAAGAAAGGAAATTCTTATCTGAAACTGGAATCTTGAGAAACACCTTGTTTGACATGGAACAGTGACCACCACAGAGAATAAAGGTGACAACCACAAAGGCCCTTCCCTGACAAGCCCCTAGCTATGGCCTAATTGCAAAAATTTCCCCACTCCCTCATTGCCCTAGGAAACKCCTCCCCACTTCCCTAGGCTGTAACAGAAGACCAATTCCAGCCTTTGCTGGAACCCCCAAACCCACCAAAGGTTTATCTTAAGTAAACCTGTGTTGTTGTTGAACCACCTCTCCTCTCTATTTTCTTCATTCAGTTCTTTCCTTACAGTTCTGTTTCTCGTTTACATGTGAGCAGGAAGCTCTGTTCCACGTGGATGTTTAGAACCCCACAATGACAGATGCTTTGACATCCTCCACAGTTCCCATGTTAGGGGGAGAAAGAACTTAAAAGAGCATTCACCCGTTCTGCTTTGCTTTATTTGTAAGTGGCACCATTAATTCTATCCATAGCCCCTTGATGATAATGAGTACCATGCATTACCTAATGACAAGGGGACCAGAATATATGAAGAGCACAAAGATCTCCAGTAACTGATATAAATGTCTCAGCCACCATCTCCAGGCCCTAAAGGGGTAATATCCTCTCTGTGACTTGAGTACCTTTGTCCTCACTCCTTTGCCCAAGATCATGCCATATAGAAGGAAGAACATGGACTGTGGGGTCAGGCTGCCCCAAGTTTGACTCCCAGCTCCATCTTATGCTCATTGTGTGACTTTGAATAAGTCATCCTGCTTCTCTAATCCTCAATATGCTCACCTGTAAAATGGAAATTTCAACACCCACCTTTCAGCATTGTTGCAAGGATGAGAAATGATCTCTACAAACCCTGTGACAAAGAGTAATACATGATGATTATCATCATCAGGAGGAGAAGCCTCTATWTAAGGCAGCAATTCCTAACTTCAGTTCTGCAACACCCCTAGATACGGCAAACTATTTCAAGGAATGTCGAAACATTTCCCAAAGGCTCTCCGACCAAGGTTATTATAAATTCCCTTTACTTACTTAAATAAATTCTCTACGGGTCATTAGAAGTAGAATGATAGAGTGATATGACCTCACTCTTGGCATATTAGGAAAGAGGTGAGGTTTCTCTTTATTGCACAACCTTTGCCCCTTCTGTGATATCCCCTTCCCTGCTTCAGCCCCCAGGCTTTAAATCAGCTTGGGTGTGAACCCCAGCTTAGTCACTGTCTTTATGTTAGTTAAGCATTCTGAGCCTAAAGTGTCCTCATCTTCAAAGCTGAGACAATACTGACTTCTTCATAGGGTTGTTTATGGGATGCAATGATGTAGATAAAATCCTGGGCACACTATACTAACTGTCCTCTAACTTAGTTTTTCAGGATCATGCCTGAGCTGTGGGGAACAGGAGGCAATGAGTGAAAATCATAACAGCAGTTTCACAAAAATCTCCATGAAAGAATGAAAATCTAGTGGACACTGGGTTATAATCTACCTGGCTGAAAAGGGCAATATATGTCTAGGATTTCTCTACTCCTTGATATTCAGGACTAAAGCAAACAGATAACACCAACAAATTTTAAATTAGGAGAACTATGCATTAAATTCAGATTGCTGACTTCTCTTTAAAAAATCATATGTGCAGCCAGGCACAGTGGCACATACCTGTAACACCAGCAACACCGGAGGCTGAGGCAGGAGGATCCCAAGTTTGGGGCTAGATTCAGCAACTAAGTAAGGCCCTAAACAACTTAGTAAGACCTGAGAGTGGTAGTTCTTTGGCAGAGAACTTGCTTGAGGCCTTGGGTTTGATCCTCAGCACCAAAATAAAAGAAAAAAATCTGGGGCCCAAAAAGGAGAAGAAATAATAATGTGTCCTTATTAGTGGAAAGATTGAGAGAGGGGTCACTGATATTGTCACTTTTCCCCTGGACTTGTCCAATGATCAAAACCAGGGCATAAATATTGGAATTTCAGGTACTTTAAAGAGGGTAGAGAAAACACTGGGGAAAGGCTGTGGGGTCCTCTTTTGAGTTCTGGAATTTCATGTCCTTCTAAGGCAGGTTCACTTTTGATTTTTAACAATAGACATAATTTTTAATACAAGCTCTGTTTTTTAATAAACTGAAAGGCGAAAGGAAATGTAATGGTCATTTATGATATTGCTCTGCTCTGTTAAAACTAGTTAATGTTCCCTGTCAGTGCCAATGTACAAGGCCATTGGATTTTATACAGGTGAAGAAACTCTTTACTGATGACCTGTAATTCTCAAGGATTGTTACATGATCTAGAACAAAGCTGATTCATAATTCTGCTAGGTGGGGCAAAGGTATTACATTTTCAGTCTTTCTTGCCAACTCTTGCCCGCATTTAACTACACTATGTAGGCATCTTTGGAGAATCTTAGAATTGTCAAGCTGATGTGTCCTTTAAGTCTCTCCTAATTCAACCTCCTCATTTTCTAAAGGTCCAAAGTTGGGAAAAGGGCTTGCACAAGACAGCAAAGACTACAACTCTGGTTTCCTGCTTCCAAGTCCATTTTGATATGTAAATTTTTCTATTTCCTTTTCTTTTAAAACTATCCCAACCTGTTACTGCCTTAGATCTTTCTTTATTTTTCCTCTTCCTCTTCTTCTTCTTCTTCTTCTTTACAGTCTCCAGGCTTCTTCTACTACGTCATCTAAGCTTTCAGATTTTTCACAATCCTCCCACTTTATCTTTACTGCATTTTCATGGGGCTTCCAAATTTTATTTTAAGAAATCCCAAAGAGGGATGTGATCTTGAGGCTTCCCCACAAAACCCTGCTCAGGGCTCCAGAAAGAAATAGCAATCTGTAAGCCACAGAATCTCTGTCTAATCCATGCTGATGTTTCCAAGGAAGCAAAGAGAGCTTCACAAGATTTGCGTCTGTTCTTTTTAGAAACAAGTCTGTTGAGATTTCATATATTCTGCTCATTTCTTCTTTTTGATTCTATGTCAGTAAGAGCCTTTCTACCACTTGTCTGACAGCAGATCTCCCTGCACCCCTCTCTTCTCTCTCACTGTGGCACATTTAGCTACTGCAACATTAGATGAAAACAATTTTTTTTTCAGGCTGGGGGTATAGCTCAGTGGTAGAGCACTTGCCTAGAATATGTGCATATGCGAGGCTTTGGGTTTGATCCCTAACACTTAAAAAAAGAAAAGAAAGAAAAAGAACTATCTTTGGCAAAGATACCAAAGGTGATTCTGGCCAGCATTGCCTCTTCATCAGTTCAAGCAAGTTGTGTGGGAAAGAGAAGCCTAGATTCTTATGAAAAAAGGATGGGGGTGGGGGTGGGGGAGACTGATAAATTTTAAGCAAGCTGCAACTTGAAGTTGATATGTATGAGAAAAGTACAGGCTGATTCATAATTAATATACCTAGATCTATGCAAAGGATCATGGAAAAAGAATCAAAAGATGCTTGGAATACACTGGCCAGCTCCCTCCCTTGCTCTTCACACATTCATTTCCTCATAGAGCTCATCAATTTTGTGACCATGTCAACCATGGTGAGAAGAGAAAAATAAGAACATATGCTGAATTTTTCATAATATTAAATTTATTCCACTTGGAGGACGGTCATGTACTGAGATTATAATCTTTCTTTAGTCCTAAGACATTTCTTTTATAAAATGACAGTGAAAGTAAGTGATAATTTGCACTTTTTATGTATTTTCTTGGTAATTAAAAAAAGATCACTCTATGTTGTTCCCTCATATTTATTTTTATTTTTTGGTAATTGGACTGATTTGGGAACTCCAAATGCCTGTTAATATCTTACCTGAAAAAATACAAATCAAATAGTAGATGGTTGTCAATCTAATCGGAACAAATAATTAATTCACATACACTTTAAGGAGAAAACTTAACGAAATCTTACTTTTCATTCTGAATAGCTCTCTCCATAAAATTGTCCCATAAGTATATCAGATTAGTCATAACAACTACTGTTAAGTGATTAACGAAACACTTCATCATAACCTCTGACAATTTGACAGGAGTGAATTTAATAATAGCAATAAATACAGATGGGACTACATAAATTGAGGAGATCCTGATGCACAACTCTTCCTCTATTCGATGGCATCTTAGTGTTCTCATCTGAAATGAACCAAGAAATTAATTATAATGATGATCTTAGCAACACACAAAAAAATTCAAAACAAAATCCATCCTCTCTGAGGGAGGCTTTTATTCTTGTTACYCCACTGCCCACTTCACATGCATGGAGCCAAGAGACTAAAGGAGCTCCAAAGAAAGGTAATAATTAGGGTGAAGAATGTAGCTCCTGACCTGGTTGTGAAGCAGTACTACAGCAGTCAGTGGCTCCCCCCAGGGCAGGTCCTCTCAGTCATTTGCTTTGTTTGGCAATACAGTTGCAAAACTATTGGCCAAACTTGCTTAGAGAGTAGGTGTAAGACGTGTTCTTGGTTCTAGGCAACCTTCCAATCTGTCTTACTGTCAAGTGGAGGCAGATTTTCCTGCACGGTCTATTCGTGCCCCCCCCCCCAACCCCTTCACCTTCGTATATCACCCATCTCTGGAGGATTTTGCCTGGAATGACTTAATAATGTACCGCTGCTGCCCACTGCTTTGGGAAATGATCCCAGTCCAGAGTACTTACAAAGCTGTTTCTGTGTGAGGGTCTTTCTCTTTTATGCAAAGCTGAAAGCAAACACAAGAGCAATGAGTTTTCCTACTTTTCTGAGGTCCATGGATAAGTATTTTTAATACATCAAGAAAGCTTAAGGACAGGTGCTGTGGAAATACAGCCACCTCTGCACTGGCTGAGGTCTCATTTCTTTGGTCACTTAAATAGTTTTTATTGAATTTCAAAAAGATGCAACTTTTCATCAGGATGTTTTCAGGACCCCTAATCAGTCAGGTATTTCATATATAGATAYCAAATTGCTTTGGATTGGTACAAAGGGTGGGGTGAATTTCTTCTTGGGAGACATTATTGTCCTGAATAACACTTAGTTATGTGTTGCAAAGAGAATGCCCCTTGCTGACTGGTAAGTTCAACAGAGGGCTTTCCGCCATATCAGCCCTTCTTTGGCACTGAATTAACTGGCAGAATCAAATGCATGCATTAACTTATGCACGCACATACTCTGAATCATGCTAAGCAATGAGGTTAACCATTTGACAATTCCAACCCCAGCCCACTCCAGCTGAAGCATGTGACTGTACTTAAGAGGTAAGCACGTAGATCTCTGAACCCAAAGCAGATGTTCCTCCTTGTGTTTACTTGCTGTACCTCAGACACCATAGCAACAATAAAGGGAAATTTAAAAGGAAGAAAAATCAACTCAAAATCGCCTACCAATTCCTTACCCCTAACACCACAGCTATTTTCATTCAGGCCTTGTCCATATGTACTTCTATTCTTTGTGAAGCAATATTCATTGCAAACACACACATATGTATATATATATTTACAATATTTATTCCTTTGAGCAACTTCATTTTAGATCTTACCATAAGAGGACCAGACAAAATTTGTTATAACTCAAGTCATTTATATAGCCAGTTTTCTGGCATTATTTAGGTGACTTTTTGTGTGGGTGTGTAGTGCTGGGGATCAAACCCAGGGTCTCATACATACAGAGCACCCACTCTGCCACTGAGTCACACCCCAGCCCTTTAGATGACTTGTTGCCCCAATAGCTCAGAATTCTTAGATACCTTCATTATTCTTTGTCGTCTAGCAAGCAGTCCAAAGCACAGTGTCAGAAAGATCACAACACATGCAGCAATAATGGGTTCTATTGGTACCACCACAGCTTTATCTATCAGAAATGCAAACACAGGGAAGAAAAATGAACAATTGAATGCTTCTAATATGTAAGTCCCAGTCATTGTCTCTTGCATTTTTATATATCATCTTCTTAATTAACTCTTCCCAACAATGCCAAAAGGTAGATAAGTACCATTGAACAGACAAGGAAGCAAGGGCTTTGAGAGATCAGTTCCAAAGTCACAAAACTAATAAATGGCAGAGGCAGGTTTATGAATTCATTCCTTTATAAAAGAATAATTTATTATAGTATGACTAGCTTCCCCAAAGCAAGCAGTCAGGCCACTTTGTGCTTTCTTCATCCACAATTTCTGCCCTAAAGAAAGAAGTAGGCGGAAGTCAATAATTTTTTCTGGCTTTTGAAAAACAAAAAAAAAAATTTAGGTGGTATCTCAGAGCAGGAAAGAAGGGGAAGAAGGCTTTGTGAGTAAGAAGATAAAGGGTGCAGAACTTTCTGGAGAAGGAAAGAGAGAGAAGTCTATGGTCCCTGGGAGTACTAGGGACAATTATATCTGTACTGTGAGAGTAGCCTAAAGAGGTGTMAAGACATTATAGAAAATGACTGCATGGTGCCTCTAGGGAAATAGAACTCTAAGCCCTTCCAACTTTAGCAAAGATGTTCTCTCTCTCCCTCCCCTCCCCCCCCTCATTCCATTCCCTTATTATCTGAGCTCCAGGTAATAACAGAGTTATTTCTCTCATCAGACAGGCATGATGCCTGTGTTTGAAAGCTTTCCAAAAGCCTTTGAAAATATTCACAATCTGGAGGTGAGATGGGGATAAAGCATTGTCTCCAAAGCATAAAAAGAAAATATCAAAATTAGTAAACTAAAATAAAATGTAACCCTGTGCTAACTATAACCCAACTGTTAAATATCAATGTTTCAATTTCAAGAATGAAATTAATAACTTATTTATAACAAACTTCAAAATGTATTCAAGTTATAAAGCTCCTTTCAAAATGTTTACGGCAAAAAAAAATACTCTTAATGTGCTTTGTTTTAATATGTGTGATATGAGAGGGGAATGAAGTGCTTCACAGTAGAAATGTTTAGGGTCAAAACAAAGGTTTCTTTTTTCTTTTCTTTTCTTTTTTTTTTTTTTTTTTTTTGCCTTTTTGTACCATGAGTCACAGATTGAACTAGGAGCACTTAACTACTGACTCACATCCCTAGCCCATTTCATTTTTCATTTTGAGATAGGGTTTTGCTAAGTTGCTCAGAGCTTCATTAAATTGCTGAGGTTGGTCTTGAACTTGTGATCATCCTGCCTCAGCCTCCTGAGCAGCTGGGATTACAGGCATGTGCCCTACCACCATGCCTGGCACAAAAGTTTTTAAGTGACTTTGTCTAAGTCCCCAAATTCCAATGCCATCCAAGGAAGGGAATGGGCTCTGATCATGGCTTAGATAAAATTTTAGGAAATAAAAAAAAATAGACTATGCCATTGATTGTACAACTGAGTTTGTGGATTGAGGTGTAATCAGCAAATATTTACTGAGTGGCTAATGTATGTGAGGTGCTGAGATAGAATGGAGCAGAGATGGAAGTTCCTGCCTTCATGGTGCTCATATTCTAAAGAGGGGAAACAGACTGAGATAAGCATTATAAAAGGAATAGGGTTGTGAGAGCATACAAAGGGAGAAAGGTGGGAGGAGGGGAACAGGCAACTTTAAGATAAATCTAATCTCAAAGCCAAACCCTATGTGCCTTAATATTATTGAATAGATTTATTCCCCCATACCTGTATAATGCATTAATCAACTGCCTTTTAATTCATTTTTTTTCTTCCTATTATTTGCCCAGCTCCTATGCAGAATAATTATTGGGGAGCAAATGGATTAAGTATCCTTCATTTCTGCCCTCTCTTAACTGTTTCTAAAATTTTTCGTTCCTAAAAAATTATTCTTATGAAGGTGTGGGKCTTTCCAGCCTCTGGAGAAACTGTGTTCAGTGGGTCTTCTTCTAGAAATCTCTGGCTCTGTTAGAGCCAGCTCTGGGACACACTAAGGGGCTTTACCTTACTCAAGGACCCCTCCACTTTGGTGGCAAGGAAAGATGTCAAAACGAAGGGGAAGCAAAGATGATATGATTAGGAAATCAGAATTCAGTCACAGGTTGGAATAATTTTTCTACCAGGATGAATAAAATGAAGCCACATGTAACAGCTTCCATTCCACAAACAAGCTGAAAACCATCTGAGCCCGTGGATTCTAAGTTTCTGTTGGAAATGATTTTGACAAACGTAACTGCCCCTCTCCTCTTGTTCTGCTTTTATGCTCTCCTTTGTAACCAGATTTGGTATCTCTACCTCTCGCATCCATTATGGTAAAATAATTTCAGCACATGGGCTCAAGAAAGACTTCCTGATGCTGAGCATGGTGGCACATGCCTGTAATCCCAGCTACTTGGGAGCTGGAGGCAGGAGGATTTCCAAGTTCCAGGTCAATTTGAGCAATGTATGAGACCCTGACTCAAAAACTAAAAATTAAAAAAAAAAAAAGGGTGGGGGTAAGGATGCAGTTTAGTAGTAGAGTGCCTGCCTAGCATGTGCAAGGCCCTGGGTTTGATCGCCAGCACACACACACACACAAACACAGCTCTATGATGTCATTTCTGGCTTTGCATGGCTTCATTTAGAAACTACCCCACTGAGCAATGAAGCTGGGAGAGCCTYGTGGAAAACTTGGCACTGAGCCTCGGCACCAGCAGCAGAGAGCTTGTGTTATGAAGGCAGCCAACAGCCAGGGAAGTAACAAAGCAAGAAGAAATAAGAAAAACAAGTTGGTTTGGAAGAGCTCCACCCAAAACAAGTTTCTGCCCACCCGAAAGGCAATTTGCTGATTGCCACACAAGCTGTATGGGATATATTTTTTTTTCCCCCTGTGGCATAGAGCAATTACAATTTCTTTTTAACCAAAAGGAATGATATCATTCCCTAGCTTTCAAGTGTGGTCTTACAGCCAGATAGGATGACATGGCATGAGACTCATACTACACTGCTTATRTGGCCCTGGGGAGGTAAAAAGCCACAAGTTTTAAGCCAAACCCTATGTGCCTTAATAAAAAAAACCCTTTCAAGGTTTCTCTCCTATGGGTACCTAGATTATTTGTGAGTCTGGTTTTTAAAGCAAATAGTCCCTAGGCATACTGTCACTGCTCTGCAGGACAAATTGCTGAACAGTCACAATGATGGGCAGTCAACCAACAGCAACTCTTCCCATCAGCCGCTCCCTTCATGTCCCGACCACCCCTGCTGGGCTGCAAGAGGAAATAAGAATACATCAGTACTGGGTACATCAGTCCATCATTTCTGGCAGGGGTTCAAGTTGGCTTCCTGGGAACTGGCAACAGTAGCAATGAGTAGGTACAAGGAAGCAAATGACAAAGTGAATAATGTTCTAATAAGATTTAGGAGCCTTAGCTTRTCTGGCTGCTTCTTGCATACTGGCCTGAGACCAGAGAATGTGTGCATGAGCATTTTCTTCATTTGCTACATTAGGTATCTCGCCTTTCTCTTTGGTCTGAGCAAGAAATATGAGGAGGGAAAAATATTTGGAGCTTCATTTGTTCTCTGTTATTGCAGGGGTGATAAACCTGAGTAGCTATAACTGGATACAGTGGCACATGCCTATAATCCCAGCAGCTCAGGAGGCTGAGGCAGGAGGATCAAAAGTTCAAAGCCAGACCCAGAAACTTACAGAGGCCCTAAGCAACTGAGTGAGACCCTGTCTCTAAATAAAAAAATTTTTAAAAAGAGTTGGGGATGTGGCTCACTGATTAAGCACCCCTGGGTTCAATCCCTGGCGACAACATTAATAACAAAAATCTGGGTAGATGAAACATAAATCCAAGAGAAAGATTTTTTTTTTGCCTTCAATTTTTCCCATTCCCTCTGCTGACAAACTTATAGGTTTGGATTTAAGAGTGAGGAGTGGTTTTAGAGATCCATTTTAAAAAAAATAACTAGATAATCAGCATCTTTCTTCTGAGTGTTTCTGACTTCTCTTCTGTTTGTCATTAGGCTGGTAACTCAAAGATCAGTGTGTCTCACCTTGCTGCCCAAGACAATTTGTGGAAATTCTCTTCCCTTAAAGTCCATCAGCCAGCATGGTGACACACGCCTGTAATTCCAGCAGTTTGGGAGGTTGAGGCAGAAGGATCATGAGTTCAAAGCCAGCCTCAGCAAAAGCAAGGCACTAAGCAACTCAATGAGACCCTGTCTCTAAATAAAATACAAAATAGGGCTGGGGATGTGACTCAGTGGCCAAGTGCCCCTGAATCCAATCCTGGTACTCCCCCTGCCCTAAAAAAAAAAAAAAGCCAATCAGAATTGCTTTCTACATTWGGTTCTAGCAAGGACCTTCTGGTATGGAAGGGCATAATTCCCCTAAAAGGACTGACTGGAATTCTTAATGGGCAATTCCTTGGATGGGGATATTTCTCCAAAGAAAATCCTAGATTTCCTAGATTCATCATTTGTTGTCATCAAAAATATTTTTTAAAAGATATTTATTTTTTAGTTGTAGTTGAATACAATATCATTAATTAATTAATTAATTTTTATGTGGTGCTGARGATTGAACCCAGGGTCTCTCCTGTGCTAGGTGRGCGCTCTATYGCTGAGCCACAACCCCAGCCCCGCCAAAGTTATGTACTGAGACTCTATTATGAGTTTTTCACCATGCTGGATATTGCTTAAAAAGAGAGTTACCTTTAACAATCAGGTGAAAGTCCAAGGTCTCCATTTTCAGAGGTGAATTTGCAATACAGCTGTAGGTTCCATTGTCAGATTTCTTGACTTTGCTGATGGACAGCTGAAGAGACTCGCTTGTCTGTTGGATTTGGTGGTGGTTTTTCTCTAAAGTCAGGATGTTATTGTTTTTGTACCACATCATTTGAGCCTGGGGGTTGGATTTCACATTGCAAACCAAGTTCACATTGCTGTCTTCTTCAACTGTTTGGAAGTCATTTCCACTTAGGAGAGGAGGAACTGCAAGATTCAAGCATTTAAGTTTAATTAGAACATAAGCCGTAGTTTACCCATGTTCAAGGTCTTCCTTCAGCCTTTCTCTTGTAGTCATTCAGAAATGTATTGAGTTCCTACTTTGTGCTCAGCATGGGCTAGGAAATAAAGATACAATGGTAAACAACACACTTAAGTTCTAAACCTCCTAGAACATTTAGTGTGGAGAAGACAAATGATGAAACAGTATGCAATTATAAACATAGTGTATATGCTAATGAGTCTGTCCTGACTGGACAATTTGTAATAACTTAAGACTATAAGCCTTAGGTCTGTGCTCTCTGAGGGTAAATATAATAAACTAAGCTGTGCTAGTATTGGATGAAACAGTGTAATACTAAGAAGACAGGCATTAGTGTTTGTTAGTCCTAATCCATCTACACCACTTACTTGTGACTTTGAGATAGTTATTCAACTATTAAGGTCTCAGTTTCCTCATCTAAAAAAAAATGGGATGATAATACCTAGCTCATAAGTTGCTGTGAAGGTTGAACGAGATAATCCCTGTGAAGAATTTACTGTAGTGCTAGCTACTATTATTATTGTGGTGATGGTATTTCTGAAGGCAGTACTCACACCCTCTTATTTTTGCATTTTATCTAGCTACATTTTTTCCTGGCCAAATAGATATTTATTGTACCAGGGATTGAACCCAAGGACACTTAACCATTTAACCCAGCCCTTTTTATTTTTTATTTTGAGACAGGGACTTGCTAAGCTGTTTGGGGTCTCACTAAATTGCTGAGGCTGCCTTTGAACTTGYAATCCTCCTGCCTCAGCCTCCAGAGCTGCTGGGATTATAAGCACGCACCACTGCACCTGGCTACGGCCACATATTTTCCAATGCATATTTGCATTTCTTCAATGATCCTCTAGAAATAATGGCCTCCTCCCAGAAGGTATTCTGGTCCCAGCAGTTCTGGCATCAATGGAAGRTTAGTGAGTCCCTCTCATCCCTCTGTGTAGGTTACTCCTTACTCCTTCCATAAGAACAGTTGTAGACCCAKAGATAGTCCAACACATTTACTGTATCTTTAACAAATAATTCCAATCCTCACCCTCCACCAAAGTTTTCCAACATCCAGGGGGAGAAACAGCTGAGCTAACATTCCCCTCTTTTCTTTAACATTCCCCAATTACAACTAAAAAATAAATAACTAAAACAGTCCCTTGCATTTTCTGGCAAAGGTGCAAAAGATTAATAAAATGGTTAAAGAGTGGGCAGTAGGAAGGAGGTAGACATGGAGAAGAAAAAAGGAGCTTGTATAATCTGCACACTGAATAATTAGACCCTGAGTAGGCTGCACTATTAATAACTTTCTCAGAAGAATGACATTTTGTTGCTCTTTGGAATGAGCTTGAGTTCTATATCCATATCCAACAAGAATGTTATATGGTATTCAGATATGTAGGAAGCTGCTGGAATAGTGAACACAACTACCAAATAGGACAGTTTCATTTGTGGACAGATCCCATTAGTTATTTCTTTTAATTTAGCTATTTAAGCCCAATGTTTAAGCATGTCATCTATGCAGAAATGCTCCCTTTAAAAAAAATCAGTGCATTTCAAATAAATCTAAAATCCTCTTTGACTCTGGTCTGGTCCCTTTCTGACTCCCCAGAGATATCCACTGCTATGAATTTGGGATAAATCTTTCCAGATCTTTTTTTTAAAAAGTAATTTTCTACACATATAATGTCCACATAGGAGAAAAAATGTATTTTTAGGAGCATGGGAAACATTTACATAAAAGACTTAATTCTCTTAATAACTTGCATGTTTTTGAGACATACTCACAATGAATCACAAAAAAAAAAAAA